ATGGCGGTGATGGGGATGGCGGTGGTGGGGGTGGCGGTGAGGGGGGTGGAGGTACAGCTGGCGGCGGCGGGGGAGATGGTGGCGGCGGTGATGGAGACGGTGGTGGCGAGGGTGGTGGTGACGGCGGTGGTGACGGGGGCTGGGGCAGCGGCGGCGATGGAGATCCAGCCGGTGGTGGGGGTGGCGGTGGTGGGGAGGGAGTCGGTGGCAGTGGAGGTGGGGCTGGTGGAGAGGGTGGTGAAGGTGGACTGGGCGGCAATGGTTCCGGTGAGGGTGGTGCCGGCGAAGGTGGTGGTGGCGGGCTTGGCGGCGGCGGGTTTGGTGGTGGCGGACTTGGTGGTGGCGGACTTGGTGGTGGCGGACTTGGCGGGGGAGGGCTCGGCGGTGGCGGGCTTGGCGGCGGCGGCAAGCTCGGCGGCGGCGGCGGCGCCTGACCAGCAGCAAGCTGCACGCCTCCCAATGCGAGCATCAGTAGCAGCGGCAGTGCCCAGGCTGCCAACGTCAACCGGGATGCGGACCGCATGATGGCTTTGCTGCGGCAGCCGCTGGAACTACCCGTGGTGTGGAAGGCGGCGACCGCTTTAACGCCGGACAGCCCCCCGTGTCTCTGCATTCACAGTCTGTAAATGACAAGGTTCACTCTTAGCAGTCTGTTGTGCTCCTAGCCAGCAGCAATCGGTTGGGATAGCAGGGTGCGTGTGTGGCTAGGCAGTTGGTACACTTGGGATGCGACCTGTACAGCAGGCAGGGAAGGGAAGGGAAGGGAAGGGAGACATGCACGCTAACGGTGGCCGAGATGCGGAGGTGCCGAGATGGCGGTACGTCGCCAGGGATGTGTGGACAGGAGTATGAGATACATGTGACGCTTGGGGTTTCAAAAATGACGGGATTTCGGTGAAGCATTTCCTCATTTCCCACATACGCTCTGGCAGGAACGCATTTATGTTTTCACAAACGCACTGGCAAGAGCCGAATCTGAATAAAAATATAGATTTCACAGAGTTAAAGAGGGTTGGCGCAAAACCTCAAAGCCGCATCGACGAAGAGATTGACGCGGCATGTGGGACAGTGAGGGGCCTTGTGCGAGGGGCTGGGAGCTAGGGGAGTGAAGGGGAAGGGCGCAGACCATCTGTGTCGCAGACCATCATAATCTTTTGCCAGGGGCGTTGGCTGGGGGCATGCAACTTTCAGATGATTAGGTGTGGGACTCTGATTATTACTTTGGAAGCAAATTTATTATGTATGCGATTCTTTGTCGCGCGAGGAAGCAGCGGAATCAGCAAGCTGCGGCTAAACGGATAAGCGAATTACATTAACGAGGCAAGCTACTTGACATGCAACTATGATTTTGAAATCTTTTCTTGTCCATAACCCGATGGTGCCTTGGCTAACTACTCGCCACAACGAAACCAGCAGCAGACAGATAGGGTTGGCGTAGCCCCGAGCAAGAAGCAGCAATTGCAGCGCACACCAAGCTATTTAAATCATCAATAAATGGACTCATATAAATCCTATTATCAACGATTATCCCGTCCTAGGAACTTTTGCATGCCTCAATGTGCCATTAGACCATTCGTTTCGATTCAGTGCAATACTCGAATGGCAAGCAGTATCAAAACGTGTGCCTGGTGTTATTACGTACCAGTATGCCAGGCCCGCACGAAAGGAAAATTTCGAGGATACGGATACAGATATTGTTCTACCTTGGCTCCAACAAACACTGGGAACCCCTACAGCGTTACTTCCAAGACTTTCATCAACGTTGGTTTCATCCACAGACTCAAGGGCGTGACGAAACAGGGATCCGCCGCGAGCTTCGCTGGCCAGCATTATGCACACGGGTGCTTCCCGAAGATAATATCCCATGCCTACCTACACCAAATGTATCCCCTTATCAGTAAGGAATGCGCTCCCTCGCATAGTCGCAGGCGGAAGGTTGGGGGAGAGTTTTCTCAGCCTCTACGACATGGAAGGTCGAATCCGCGACGCGCACATGCATTGGGTCTCCGGGACGCGCAGTGCACATCACGCACATTCAACTGCAAACCAACCTCTCTATGGGAAAATCCGTGTCGAAAACTAGGTGCTGAAGTCCACTTCCTCCAGCAGAACTTCACGGCTACACCTGCGTGCGCCGAGGTGAAGTGAGAAGCAGTTTAGGCAGAAGCATCCCAGCCGGTGCATTTCATCCAAACCCAAGCTGACCCAGCTCAGCAAGACACATAAAGTGCAGTCGGGAGAGCGAGGTGCTCTTCGCACCTTGGGAAAGGACGGGGCGTTGCGGACGTGCAACTCCCGCTTCCTCCTTACTTGACCCTTTGCCAACCTGCCATATTTTCAGCAAAAAAATTGATTAAAAGCGCTGCCTGCTGTTGGTGCCACGTGGCCAGGAAAGAACAATGCTGGATAGCTTCTTGGCCTGCCTTCTAGAAGTAGAAGGGACTCACTTTGCAGTTGACTTGGTGCCTCCTTTACAGAAGAAGTAGTAGCCAACTGAAACGTAAGTCTGACGCAAAACACGCTATGGGGGCACACCCTTTCACGAGAATAAGGCCAGCGGCGAAATCATCGTACGTTGCCCTTTATGTAACTGCTTCGTACCTTGTAATCGTATGACCAGCTTTGCGGTGCACTTCTAATCAACCATGCAAACATGCAGTGGTTTGAAATGCAGCAACATTGACTGTGTTTGGTCATTGGAAAAGAACTAGACGATGATTAAAGTAATTACTGTCTCCGATTGCGCCAGTTTCACCTTTTTATCATTCGAAAATATGACTAGAATCATAACTCATCGAATGAAGAATTTTACAGTGATAGTGCTTCGCCAATAGTGTTGGTGAATGCTTCTCATTTTGTCCGCCGAGTGACGAGTGTCAAACCGTACTGGAACGATCTTTGCCCGACCTGGCCATTCAGCAAAAAATCCTTTATGGGGAAACAACATAATAATCATTTTATGATTTGACAAATTTGCAACCTATTTTTAGTGCGTGCCTTGCATGCACTGAGGACTTCCCACGCTAACGCCCACCTTCGCCCACCCTTTCCCAAGCTACTTGAAACGTGTGCCAGCACCCTTGCAGGAAAAGCATCCTCGATAATTTTAAGGTAATAATAAAACTCAACACTCAAAAAGCCAGAGAGACTATTGGATGAACTCCTTCGCAAGCCTTTCAACGGGCCGATTCCGAGCCGGAGCCCGTTTTCGATTCCGATAGGCAGGTTGACTTCTTGAGACGCCAGTTACTCTTGAGGGGCAAATTACTCTTCTGTTCAAATTACATATATGGAAGAGAGTTCCCGAGCTAATTTGCCTGCGGTGATGGCGCTTAGGGCTGATCGAGTGCTCGCCAAGGCGGGCGAGCTGTGAAATGAAGCGCACAGCAGGGGGGTACGCTGCCAGGACACGGACCACAGCGCGCTTGGCAAAGGGCCAGACAACTAGGTTACGTGTTAAGGATTATTTTAGCGCACAGGTATTGATTGGAGCGGTGCACATGGAGGGGGAGGTCAAGGCTGCTGGGAGCAGAACTGACCGCCGCGACAGGATGCGGCCGAGCCAGCCAGTGACAAGTAATTTATAGGTCACAAAACTCGTAGTCTGAAGCATAAAAGACACGGTAATGAACATCCCATGTGCCATTCGAGTGCTTTGTAACCGAAGTGCCACGCGAATGTCATAACGAAGTGCAGTAGGAAGGTGAACTTCAGATAAGCTCACAAACACTTGCGATGAACCTCTCAATCCTCATCTCGATTTTACTTCTGGGGAGATTGCTGTTTCCGAATCGACGACGAAGCAAGTCCTTTCGTATCGCGAATCGCCTACTACGGAACCCCAGGAGCGAGAGGGACTTCAATAGGAAAGGGGTTGGAGAGCGACGGAGGCGCACTTCACAAGGGCATTATCAGGGGAGCAAAGCTTTACGATGGACACTTTCTCTTTCGTACGGTTGCCGCAACGCAGCAGCGGTGTCGGCCAAGACTGAGTCGCCGGGTGTCAAGACGCACAGCAAGAGCTTCAAAAAAAATACGTCATAGCAAATTTCTACAGCCTAGCAAATGACAGACCTTGAAACGAATGTGAAAAGCATATCGTCATCTGCGAAACTGAGTGTCATTTCCATTCCTCCTTGGTAAAATAAAGAAGGAGCCTCGCTGCTACGAAACCTTCGATATAGAGCAATAGGCAAATAGAACGCGGCGATAAGGGAAGGTTCTTCGCCAACTTTGTGACCTGCTGGAGCCGTCGGAGAAACAATACATGCGGCCACTTTCAGTGCATCCAAATATATGCATCCAAATCGTCAATCGACTCTAAAATATCACACCCACATATCCTTTTTTTTACAAGGGACCTCTGGTTTTCTCATGACGTCTTGCCCGTTTTGGCAACATCGCAACAAGGAAACAGAGGGTGCACACCGAACCATACGGTCATATGTGTCTCTATCCGGTGTCTCTACCTTGCGCCTAATCGACCGCCGTAACCCCAATGCTGGGGCCGTGCCTACCCTGTCCCCGGTGGGAGGGAGCCAAGACAAGATGAGAGCCACAACCCAGAAAGCCGAAAGCACCGTTTCTACTCTCCTCAACTTTCCACCTTCCTCACTCACTCCTCCGCTAGCTCATGATTCCCACGCCTCCTGTGGCCCCCTTCTGTCCCCTTGGCCCCCAGGATACCGGAACTGCCTGCCAGCCGCCACTGCTTGTCGCTACGTAGAGACTTTCCATCATCCGCTTTTTCTCCATCTCCTTCTTCTCGTCCCCAACCAACCAACCAACCTCTGTTTTCCAGCCACCTGCTGTTGCTTCTGCAGGAGACAACAAGATCAATAACAGCTGTGTAACACATATGAATTGTCAAGCAAGGAAACGAATGCGCCGTCCCGCACGCACTCCATCGAGGGGCACTTCCTCCCGCCCCCGTCTCCTCCCCCACCCCCCCTTACCACGGGGACCACGCAGAGAGCCCCTCCCCAGTCACGCCCTCCCCT